CACTAGAGGTAAGACAAGACTGAGCATATGAAGAATTTCTTTCTATTAAGAAAGCATGATAATCTCAATACCAGCGAGCTTACACTAGAGGTAAGACAGGCTGGAAGAATGATTTGCAAGAAAGGCAAGTAAGGTATTTTATTCTAAAAGTCAGCGAGCTTACACGTGAGGTAAGACAGGCTGAAAGAATAATGAACTTGTACGAGAGACAAGTAAGGTTAAGTAAATCCAGAAAATGCTATAAGATGTGTAATGGAAACATGTCCTTTTGTTATTTTAAGGGCATGTGGAGGATTCGGCAGAGATGTCAGATCGAGAAAACACCGAAAATAATCCGCCTGATGAAAGTCTTCTAACGGAAGAGATTTTGAAATTCCTGGGAGACAATCCCAAGGTCTCTAAGGCAATCGAACCAAAATTACATAAGGATATATCAGACCGACTAGAAGGATGGATAATCGACGGGTTACCAAAGGAGGACCAAGAGAAGCTAATTAAGAAATACTCTCGTCCAGAGTTTCTTGAGGCCCCAAAATTAAACCCAGAGGTTGAACCAGTGATGCAAGAAGCAGCAATTAAAAGAGATAAACATTTTTTAGAAGGTCAAAATATTATTGGTTCGGCGATTACGAGTGCAGGCTCAGCATTATCTCTAATATTGGCGGCAGAAGAGGAGGATTTAGATGAGCTCGTAGTTATAGAAAGACTTTCGGATACAATCAGATTATTAGCTGATCTCTTTAACAAACAGACAACTTGTAGAAGAGCTTTTATTTTACCGGGGTTAAAACCTAAGTTAAAAGCAGCTTTTGAAAAAACCAAGTCAGAAGGTTTACTTTTCGGTAAAGAATTGAGTGAAAAGATCAAACAAGTAGGTGTTATGGAAAAAATGGCTAAAACGCTTAAAGAACAACCTCCTAAGAAGCAGAATAATTTTTTTCCAAAAAACTGGAAAGGCCATCCAGGGAGGACCTGGAACAACACTCAGTCATATCGACAGAATCAGTGGAAGCGTCGGTTTTTCAAGAAGAAGACTCAATATCAAAACCGAGCACCTCAAAATTCCAACACCAAATCAACGACGGCGAACGAGAAAAAGACGGCTTAGTAAGTTCCATAGCGGGTCGTTTAAGTAAATATTTTAAAAAGTGGAAAAACATAACAAACGATAAATTCGTTTTACAATGTATCAAGGGATACAAAATACAATTCTCTAAACCAGTCTATCAGTATTGCAAGTTTAAAGAGCCAGTTAGGTCTAAAAATGAGGTAATTTTGTTAACTGAAGCAATAGATAAACTATTGAACAAGGGTGTCATTGTACAATGTAAAGAGGAAATAGGTCAATATTTATCATCTTATTTTTAGTTCCTAAACCGAATGGGGAGTACCGTTTTATTTTAAATTTAAAAAGTTTAAATAAGTTTATACAAACAGATCATTTTAAAATGCAGGATTTGAGAACAGCATTGAAGTTAATTCTAAAAGATAATTTTATGGCAACAATAGATTTACAAGACGCTTACTTTCTTATACCAGTAGATAAATCTTATAGGAAATACTTACGTTTTATATTCCAAGAAATTACATACGAATTTACGGTACTCCCTTTCGGACTATGTACTAGCCCTTACGTATTTACAAAGATTATGAAACCGGTTATGAGTCAATTGAGAATGCAAGGATTACTATCAGTAGACTACTTAGATGATATATTATTAATAGGAAAAAATGTTGAAGATTGTTACAGCAATGTTAAATTAACAAGGAATCTACTAGAATCTTTGGGTTTTATTTTAAATGAAAGGAAATGTAAATTATCTCCGTCAAAACAGTGTAAATTTTTAGGCTTTGAAATTGACTCGCACAGATATATGATATCTCTCCCCGAGGAAAGGAAAAGAAAAATCCTCAACTTAATAAGAAAAGTAATCGACAGATCAGAGTCAAAAATAAGAGAGGTTGCGCAATTAATAGGAAATCTGGTGGCAGCGTGCCCTGGAGTTCAATATGGTTGGGCTCATATTAAGAAAAGCTTGAAAGAGAAAAAGAGTTAGCCTTAATTTTTAATGGAATGGATTATGAAGGAAAAATGGAAATTTCGATAAAAATTAAAACTGAATTAGACTGGTGGGAGAAGAATCTTCCCTCGGCTTTTTCCATTTTCAAAAACACATCAATAGATAAAGTAATTTTTACGGATGCATCAACTTCAGGTTGGGGAGCGGTACTTGAAGATAAGGAAATTCATGGTTTTTGGACGGAAAAAGAAAAAAGAGAACATATAAATTTATTAGAGCTCAAGGCAATCTGGTTAGCATTACTATCCTTTGAAGCAGAAATTAAAAACTGTAACATTTTGTTGAGGGTAGACAACACCACAGCTATCGCTTATATTAATAAAATGGGAGGCATTAAATACCAAAGATTCAATACACTAGCTACACAAATATGGTATTGGGCGGAGAAAAATAACATTTGGTTACATGCGGAACACATACCGTCCAAAGAAAATTCAATAGCGGATAGATTATCTCGTCTTAAAAATGTAGATACAGAATGGGAATTAGCTGAATATGCCTTCAATGAGATTACAAGTATATTTGGAATCCCGGAAATGGATTTATTTGCTACGCGCTTTAACACTAAATGCCAAAAATTTTGTTCTTGGATTATAGAACCAGATGCCTGGGCAATCAATGCTTTTTCAATTTCTTGGTCAGAATTTTACTTTTATGCTTTTCCTCCATTTTCCATGATTTTACGAACCTTAAATAAAATAGTACAGGATAAAGCGAGAGGAATTCTTATAGTACCAGATTGGAAGGCTCAAGCATGGTATCCCATGTTTAGAAAAATGCTAGAAAAAGAGCCCATTGTTTTTAAACCATCTCGACGACTATTATTATCGCCTTGCAGGTCGCTGATACATCCAATGGCGCAGAATCTTACATTACTATCAGGCATTGTCTCAGGGAAGCTTATTTAAGGAAAGGTCTGCCAACAGACTGCATAGAAATACTAATCGCATCCTTGTCGGAAAATACACTTAAGCAGTATAATTCATCATTAAAAAAATGGTGGAATTTTTGCACAGAGAAAAAACAGGATTTCTTTGTGATCACGACTAATAAGCTTTTAGAATTCTTAACAACCTTATATACGGAAGGTGCTTCCTATGGATCTCTAAACACACACCGTTGTGCAATTTCATTAATTTCACTTAACAAGATCGGGGAAGAGCCAATTATTGGTCGCTTTTTAAAAGGTGTAGCAAAGTTAAGACCGATAAATGTACGTTACGCAGCTACGTGGGATACAAATGTAGTATTAGATAGAGTTAAGACATGGTTCCCTTTAAGTAAACTTAATCTACAAGAGTTAACAGAAAAAACAATCATATTGTTAGCATTAGGGACTGCAAGTAGAGCACAAACCCTAGCAGCAATTGAGACAGATAATATTAAAGAAACCAAAGAAGGCCTAGAAATAAGAATTATGGAGCGTACGAAAACAGATAGTCCGGGGAGAGCTAAACCACTACTGTGTTTGCCGTTTTTTAAGGAAAAACCAGAGCTCTGTATTGCGAGCACTGTGATCCAGTATTTAAGAGTAACAGCAAAATTAAGAAAATATACCAGACATTTATTTATTTCAATAAATAAGCCGCATAAAGAAGTAACAGCTCAAACAATTAGCAGGTGGATAAAGAAGGTTTTGCAAAAATGTGAGATTGATATTAGTGTTTTTTCATCTCATTCGACGAGACATGCGTCATCATCAGCAGCTTTCATAAATGGGCTTGACCTTGAGGCGATAAGGAAAGCTGCAGGCTGGTCAGAAGGATCTACAGTGTTCGCAAAATTTTATAATCGACCGATATCAAAAAATTTTTCTTTTGCAAGAGCTGTGGTTAAATAATTTCAGTTAAGTTCCTTAATTAAGAAATTAAGTATAATATTATCTTTAGTGTGTAATTTTGATTTCAGT